TATGCTGTAGTATGCTGGTTTCTTTTTGGGAAATTGCCTTTCCTCTTCTTCTTGTACAGCCATGTAGTTAGGATATTTCTGGGTACCATCTACCACTATAGAAGGTGATAGGGCAACCAGATTCTTCTCCTCACCCCTCTTTAGCTACTGGCACAGCCAAGCTGTGAGCCTGTGGTCTGAATTTAATAAATCACACATTTTCAAAGAACTCTAACCCAGAAATGGGTCACCCAAGAATAGAAGACTGTGGGTTCTTCTCCCTGGTGGCAGCATGCTAAGCAGCCTCTTTTTGCTACAAACACCATGGTTATGGTTCCTGCTCCTAACTGCTCAGAGCTTTTCTGGTCTCTTCCCATTCTTAAGTGTGGTCCTCCAGCCTCACATCAATTTAATAATTTTCCTTTTTTTAGCCTGAGCTTATTTCTCTTGCTTGATAGCAAGAACTCTTAACATGTGGATAGCTAATTATTTAGTAAAAATGAACATTTAATTTATTTCAGTTGTGTGGCAGGGATTTTGCTAAGCAAAAGTAGGGGTGAGGGATGGAATGGTGAATCCTTAGGAAAAGAGATGAGGTCTAAGTATTTCTAAGGCCTTATTTGCCAATTTAATGCCTTTGCTTTAAAAATTAAATATCTTCTAAATCTTTAAAAGGTCTTGTAAACATCTACTAAATCTGCTAATACAATTTTGCATGAGAACTTGATTTTCTAATTGAATAAATATGCGTAGGAAGCCTACTGTGAGCCCTGCATAATACTAAGAGCTCTATTAGATTAAAGGAGAAAAAAGGGGGGGGGGAGGGAGGAGATGGTGCTAAAGCAAAACCCCTGCCCATCAAGCCATGGACACAAGACATAACAGCATGTGTGAACATGCACACTCACACCCCACACAGACTAAGAATCTAATGGAAGCCATTAAGTGACAAAGAAATAATTTTCCCTTTCATTGCAGCAAATTCAAATAACCTTGGCAGATAATGTGATCTAATTTCTCATTTGCAAATGCTGTGTTGTACAGTCACCATGAATCAGAATCAAGTCAATGGCAGTGGGTTTGGTTAATGCTGTGATACAATTGTTTCAAGACTACAAATCTTATATCATCACCACCACCCACAATCACCACCATTATCACTACCATTCATTGAGATTTTATGCCATGCCTGGCACTGGACTAAGATCTTCATATGAAGATCACCCAAAAGATATATTGACAACCTAACCCCAAGGCTAACCCCCTGTGAAAGTGACCTTTGGAAATAGGGATATGTTATCAGTTAATATGAGGTTATACTGGAATAGGGTGAGCCCTAATCAAATCTGAGTGGTATCTTTATTTAAAAAAAAAAGAAAGAAAGAAAGAAAAGAAAAGAGACACAGAGGGAGGACAGCCAGGTGACCATGAAGGTAGAGACTGGAGTTATCTTCAAGCCAAGGATCTCTGGCCATCATCAGGTTCTCAATCCTAAATCAAAGTGTCCCATTCTCTAATGTTTAAATGATAGTGCCTTTTATACAGCAGAAAGTGATGTGGAGCAAAACACAGTGTCCTTGGATTTATGCCCAATATACTAAAGTCCTTTGGGGAAACCACATCTTCAATTTACCAATGTTCATAATTGCATACTACTGCCAGGAGATGACAGTTTATTGCTCTCACATTGTTCTTTATTGCTGGACCTATAAGAGAAGCTAAGTTTATGGTAAACTGGTAGCACTTAACTGATTGGTAAGTTGGGGAGTTTCATCCCTGTACTTTCACATTTTGATTAAATGAAAGGAAGTGAGTGTTATTAGTAAGTATCATAATCTACTGGGAAAAGCAGCCAGATATCTTTCTTTAATAATCTTGAAAATACACAGACTGGTTTAGGAACATATCTGTTCAGCCCAGGCGAATTTTTTGGAACTACTTCTAGTCCCTGTTTTGTGACAAGCTTGTAAGACAAATATTTTGGTGGTTTCTTTTCTTCAGTTTTATAGTGCAAGATATGTTTTAAGTAAAAAAAAAAAAAAAAAAACATTAAATAGGATGGCAGCATTGTGTCGTATTAGTATTTAAAAAATTATTTTTTTCTGTCTTTCCAAATTGCAGAAGCCAAGCTCTCCTTAAACAATCTTAGCTTTTTTACTCTACCTAGAAAAAGGCTTCATAACTCTATATGGAAAAAGCTATCCTTTCCAATTGTCACTCCTTTTGCATTCTTCTCTCAATAAAACAAAACAGAAACTAAACCTGTTGCTGTTGAGTTGATTCCAACTCAGAGACCCTATAGAACACAGTAGAACTTCCCCATAGGGTTTCCAAGGCTGTAATTTTTATAGAAGCAGACTAGACTGCCACATCTTTTTACCACACTCAAATGAGTGGCCCATCTGATGCCTCCATTCCCGTCACATGCATTTTATTTCTTAAAACTCAACTCAGCTTCTACTGTCAAAAGGCAATTGATGCACTTTTCTCTAAAGTCACCAATGAGTTCTTTTTAGCCAGCTCTGAGGAGCTGTATCCATCCCATTATCATTTTGCTGCATCTGACACCATTATGTTACTTCTCCCAAGTCTCCACCTACTTCCTGTTTTTCTTTGTAGCCCTTTCCTTTTCTCCTTGCCCATCCATTTCTTTGGGGAATTAATTTACCATCTGGGTCTGTTATTGTATTTGTACAGTATTTTGGTACGCCAGGTCTTTTTCATGACCCTGCTCTGCTAACAACTCCCAAATTGTTACCTACAACTTCTTATACAACTAAAGTTCTACGTTAAAGTGGATTAGAGCACATGCTTGTGTGTTTGTTCATGACCTGGTATTTCATCATATCCTCAGTCCCCTATCCCAGGATTTTCACAGCTACCAGCTAACAGAATGAGCACTTGAGTTGGCAGTCCCATCTCTGAAAAAAGCAAACTATTAAATTCAAGGGTAAATGATGTCATAACATCACAAGAGTTTCAACTGAATAATTATGTCTTCTTTGTAAGGGAGTCTAGTCATATACAGAAATTACAAACAGAGCAATTAAGATTGAAAGAATGTGAGTTTTCTGGAGGTTCTTGGGTAATCAAAGATAACTTACACAGTGTTGTGAATTTAATTATATCCCCACAAAATATGTGTTGTAATCCTAACATTGTAGTTAAGGGCTCTGGTGGCACAGTAGGTAAGGCATCTGGCTGCTAACCAGAAGGTTGGTGGTTCAAACCCACTAGCTGCTCTGCAGGAGGAAGATGAAGCAATTAGGTCCATAAAGATTTACAGCTTGGAAACCAAATGGAGGTCGCTATGAGTCAGAATTAACTTGATGCAGTGGATTTTTTTTTTCTTTTTGATATGTTGTGGTCATAATCTCATTTAGGAATGGGTTATCTTTGTTATGTCAATAAACAGGATTAGTGGAGGGTGTGTTTTAAATCTATCTCCTCTGAGATATAAAAGAGATTAAACAAGCAAGCTACAGAAGAAGAGATGGGGAAGATTGATGCCAAGACACACAGAGATCTCTAAGGGAATAGGAAACAGAAGCTGAAGAGACAAGGACCTTCCTCCAGAGCTGACATAGAGAGAGCCTTCCCCAAGAGCCGGCACTCTGAATTTCCACTTCTAGGCTCCTAAACTGTGAGAAAATAAATTTCTGTTTGTTAAAGCCATCCACCTGTGATATTTCTGTCATAGCAGCACTAGGTAATTAAGACACACAGCACTGAAAAAAATATTTTTTCCTCTTTCACAAATGCCATTAACTAAAGAAATAAGCAGTTAGAAAAAAGAAGAAAATATTACACTATGAGGAAAAATGGCTATTTTTTAACAAATTTATTGATATAATTCACATACCTTGTAACTAATCCGTGAAAACTGAAGAATCTAATGTTTTTAGCATATTCATGACTTGTATAATATCACTACAATCTAATTTTAGAACATTTCTATAATCTCAAGAAGAAAAGCATACCGATTAGCAGTCACTCCCCATTCCTACTCCCACAGCATTCTGAGTAATTGCCAAACTGTTTT